TCTGCAAATTATTTTGGGTTAAATGTGAGGTAGGAATTCACAAACATAAATATTTAAAAATGCAGCATATCTTCTGCTATCTCAAACCCTAGGAAACAGTGACCTTCTCTCACGGAGGTTACAGTCTAGCAGAGACATCAACAAAGCAAATAAACTTCTTTTGTTCAGGGTTTTGTCTATTTTTTCGTAAGAACGTTATGTGCCTGTTTGTAAGAACTTTAGTGAGCTTCTAGTCTCCATAAAAAAATGCTAGCAGAAATTCTTGGATGACATTATATTAGTTACTTTAAGGAGAATTGATGTTTTGAAAATATGCACTGTGTTTCCCCATCAAGTCTTTTATCAAGAGCACATTAAAGCTCTCAAAACAGACACTTCACTTTTCTAAATTTTCCATTCTTATCTCTGTAGTTGCTGTGCTTTATCTATCTCTCATCGTGTTTTCTGACTGGTTATTAGAATTAAGGTGGGATTTTATATGTCAAATTTGTTACCAACCCAATTCAATGACGACTTACAATTTATAATAGTTTTTCAAGCGCTCTCCTTGGCTTTATTATGTATACGGACCCACCTACAAAGGTTAATATTTTACTTTTGCCACTTTTATACCTCTGATTTCTTTATCCAATTGTTTTACTATAGAGTATATTAAATAATAGTGGAGACAGCACAAAAGTGAGCAGAAATACTGATCGCTGACATCCTGGTCTGATTTCTCTCTACGGGGTCAGCAAACTCCACCTGAGGGCCAAGTCCAGCCATCGCCTGTTCACGTAAAGGTTCTACTGGAACACGGCTTCCTCGTTTGTTTATGTGTTGTCAATAACAGCGTCCTCACACCAGCCAAGCTGAGTAATTGCAACAGACACCGAATGACCACAAAGCCTAAAATAGCTGGCCCTTTGCAGAACGTTTGCTGACCTCTGCTCTATGTTAAAAAAAAAAAAAAAAAAAAAAAAAAAAAGTTTCACCACTAAATATATTTGCTGGAGCTTTTATTAGCAGAAAATTTTAATTTTTTGAGACTGTCTAGTTCTAGTTTACAAAGCATTTCTTTCATACTATTTATGCATCATTGAGACTGTATGATTTTGTTTCCTTTATTTGTGAATGTGAAACTCGAACTTTGTTCTATTGCTAAACCAATGTCTTTTGGTTTCCTCAAGACTGTTGTTTGTTTACCTGACTCTGTGTTTGGCTGTGGCTGTAGACTTTACTCTGCCTTAAATAGAATCTTACTTCCTGTGTGTACATGTTGAGTTTTTTGTTGTTGTCGGGGTTTTTTTTTTTTAGCTGTTTCTCTTCTGAGTTCTGATTCTCACAACTTGCACCTGTCCATTTATATATTGCAATATTTTTGCTGGGGGATTATAGTCTATTTCCTTATACAAATGAGTGCTTCTTTCATGCAACGAGATGTTGGTGAAAAGTGACTACATTGTAAAGAGATGCTACAGATACTTCAAACTCGAGGTCATTCGTGTAAATGAAAAGACTGACAAAAATAAACGAAACTGCTTTTAGTAAAAACTGTAGGCATTTATCCTACATTTATGGAACAATTGAGGTTTCCGTTCCAGATTGGAAAAGAAAAAGTGATTATTGTCTACTCTTATAAATGCTTTCATTATGTGAATAGCAAACATGGTAGCATTTTTTAAAAAGGAAAATTTTTTTCCAAAGGATAGGTAGTTTAATAGAAATCTTGCCTCTTTTGGCAAAATTAATTAGGAATTCCAAAAACTGGATTAGATTGACCTTAAATGTCCTATGTCCTCATCTTTAGACATTCCAGAGTTACCAAACTATAAGGCTATCTTAGCCTCAGCCACACACCCACAAACGTAAACCATTATATCCTAAGTCTAAACGTGACCCTCAGCATTCAGTTACACATCCTACTATTTTGCTTAGGAAATCTTGTTCCCAGCATGTAAGCACTAAAGCCGATGTTACTTAAGATTTGCATGCACGCTCTGGGCCAGTCCTTCCTCTGACTGCTTCTCTTGTGTTACTTCACTAAAAACCCTCAGAAATATAGGTACTCTGATTCCCATCCTCCTGAGGAGAGAGCACCCAACCTCAGAGAGGTTCAGTCACTTGACCCAGGGGACCTATCATGAATGTTACAGAGGTAGGACTTAAACCTGGAGCTGTCGCTTTATCTGGGAGCCCCTGTTTATGATTACAGAAGTACATACCCTCTTAAAATCAAATTACCTACGTGGAATCTTTTTTCCCCAGCTTTATTGAGATACTGTTTTGCACAAAGTTGGGATTCTCTTGCCCAATGCACATAAACAGCTAATTATTATGTCATCAGCTTTTGGGAAAAGAATACAGTTCTATTGCTAGATCAATCTGCAAGGAGACTGGGGATGTATGCTCTCAGATCTGTCTCGCCAATCCAGAGATTGCAGCAAAATTTATGGGATGAAGGGCAGGGTGGTCTGAAGTGTGGAGACAGATGATTGGAGGTGAGGAGAAGTGAGGTAATTAATGATCTGTGCAAGCGTAGTCAAGCTCCATGGCTCTTCATAGGACGCATGTTCACAAAATGGTGGTCTTAGCATGATCTGAGGGTGGAGTTTTCAGCCCCTCGACATCAAAAAGTTCACTTATCAGGCATTTGCGCAGGCCCAGTTTATGGTTGGTGGTCTTGGCTGGCCTGAACTGGACAAGGGGGGACCCACAGTTCCCACTCTTAATTACTCTGTTGATAAGACAGGATCAGTTGAACTGGTCCTGGGGGGCCCATGGTTACAGTACAATTGGCAAATAAAAATTATATATATTTAAGGTGTATAACGTGATGTTTTGTAATACTTATATATGGTGAAATGATCACCACAATCAAGCTAATTAACACATCTATCACCTCACATAGTTACCATTTTTTGTGTGGTGAGAATGTTAAAGATCCAATCTCGGCAAGTTTCAAGTACACAATATAGTATTGCTAATTATCATCACCATACTATACATTAGATCCCCAGAACTTATTCCTCTTATAACTGGAAGAGTGTGACCTCTGACTAGCATCTCCGCATTTCCCCCACCCTCTGGCCCCTGGCAACCACCAATCTTCTCTCTGTTACTATGAGTTCAACTTCCTTAAATTCCACCTCTGTGGCATCTGACCCTTCAGACTTGGCACCACAAGTACACAGATCTAACCAACTGTGCTAGCTGTCGTCTGCCACCATATCGTCATTAGCACTCCAAGTAGCAGAACACTCCCTGGGGTAGAAAGAAAAAATGGAAGAACACAAGAAAAAAAACTGTATTAGCTCACCAGGCAGTTGGTCAAACCGTGACAAGTGTCTAGGGAATGTCGCCTCAGAACTATTTTGAGAGACGTTTCCCATAAACAGTATTCATGATAAACCATTCCTATATCCCAGAGAAAAACTTGTGCCCACACAGACCACTTCATCTCTTAAAGCAGCATCTGAAATATTCAAACTTGGGAAATCAAGAATCTTGTCCCAACGGCATCTCTATGTCCCCCTCTTGACCACCCCCAGAACCCTTATTTCAGTGTTTCCTTCTATGTATTTTATAATCTTTATTTCAGTTTCTTTATTCTCTGGCTCTCTCATAATGAATTGAAGTAATTCTAGCAACCTCCTCTTAAAAATTCCCTGTGCAGAGAAGGGCAGGGAGAAGGGCAGACAGGTACTGACAACTGGGAGCCGGTTTGTGTCTGTAGATCAAGGGAGCAGAGAGTAGATGCCCTGGTCGGTCTATGCAGCAGTAGCAGCAGAAAAAAATCAGTGACTGACGGGGCTTCTCCCTTGCAGACTGGTTGTACCTTGGTGGGATGCTTCCAGTAGCAGGAAGGAAGGAGCCTAGATAGGACGTCACTGTGTATCTACAAGTCGAACTCAAAAGAGAACTACTATAAATGTACAAATGTCAAGCAAAGAGTAACTTCCACTCTAATGTTGCTCTTCAGGGAAAAAGCAAGTCACTGACTATTTGAGTCCTTAAGGTGTTTTATTACATGTTGTCCTTTGGATTGCTTTATATTCTACCACAAAGTAGTCATTGTGGAAGACCAGAGAAGCCCAAAACGCCCAACTAGAGTTGGCTGTCGCTATTTATGGAGGTCATGTAATAGTGAAAGAGGAGATTTGGCAGATTTAAGCATTATTCCTGGAGCATTCCTAACAAGTGCAAAATGTTTGTCACCACACACCAGCTTCCTAGGCAGCTTTGAGAAACAATGCATGGCACAGGCCATGAATATACACCTCCAGAACAAGTTGAGTTAGGGGTGGAGTATATAGGATCTGTTCTGATGGCTAATGATGCTGAGCATCTTCTCATTTGCTTATTATCCATTTGTATATCTTCTTTGGAGAAATGTCTATTCAGATCCTTGCCCATTTTTAATTGGGTTATTTATCTTTTCATTATTATAAAAATTTTCATATTTTCTAGATGCAAGTCTCTTACAGAATATGATTTTCAAGTATTCGTCAGTTTACTTTTACACCAAAACTCTTTTCTGTGTTTGTGTGATTTGATGTTATATTAAAGCACAACAAGAATCAACCAATCTGAAAACAGTGTGACTTATTTTTAGTAAGTGGTAGGATCCTATTTGCCAGTTTCCCTGAGTAGAGCATATTAACCAAGGGCATTCGCTAACAAGTGTTTTGAATCTGACTCTATGCTAGATGCTGTTTTGGGAGCCAGGGATACAGGCAGAAAAATATCCCAGAGTTTATATTCTAGTAACAAGATAAACAGGTGGAATGTTAGGTAATTTTAAGTCTACGAAGAATTGTTACCTGTGACTTGGGCTTCTCTTCAGTATGTCTCATAAAAGGAATAGAGAATGGTGTTCCCCCTAGTGAGTTGATTGAGGTTGGTTGTATGAACTTGAGAATTTGATGCATGATTCTCTTTTGAATCTTTTCACTCTTCCCACAGGTCCCACTTGCTCCATATTACCAAAGAATCTACTTCTCCATCAAAATCTGAGCTCTCAACCTTGCATTAAGATGGAAGAAGCCAAAGTACTCTCCTTTTCCAACTATGGACTGCAATGGTGTTTCAATCAGCTCAGCAAAGAAGAATTTCAGACATTTAAGGAGTTACTAAAGGAAAAAGCTTCAGAGCTGGCAACATGCTCTTTTCCGTGGGTTGAAGTGAATAAGGCCAGTGTGGAACATCTAGCCTCCCTCTTGCATGAGCATTATAGAAGATCTCTTGCCTGGGAGATATCCATTAATGTCTTTGAAAGGATGAACTTGTCAGCCCTCTCCGAGAAGGCAAAGGATGAGATGAAAAGTGAGTAAGACTTTGGGAAAATCTGGGATAGGAGAGAAAGGAGGGGATCTCAAGTTCCCGTGGGGTGGGGAAGGTATGCTTCTCTCACCGGGGCCAGCTCTACAGCATGAGTCTGAACTGTGAGAAGTAACTTACTGGCCATCCCCACCGGCTGAAAATTAGTGTAGCCTGTGAAACAATGAAGGAGAAGAAATGGGTAGACGGACCGTCTACCTGGACAGAACTTGGTTGAAGTTAATAGATAGGATTTGGGGTCCTAAGTGCCAGGCTCGAGCTCTGGAGCTTCCACTTCTTATTTGTGTGACTTTGGGAAAGTCCCTCCTACTCTGACCCTTGGATGCCACATCCTGGAACAGTTACTGTGATGGTTATATGTACTGTTGCAAAGGTTCAATAAGATAATGTATAGAAAATAGTTAACAAACCTTCATTTATTGAGAACACTGTGGTGGTTGTACAATGAGTGTTGCCCTTATTTCTTGCCCCAGGCTGAGGGACTGAGGTTCAAGGAAGTTTTCTAAGGGTTGACTTTACTCAGACTGTTGGTGCCCATATTACAGTAATGTACTCAGATCCAATGGTGTGATTATCTTAGGATATTTAGGAGAAAGGTAGTAGAAAAGAAATAATAGCTCTCCTTTATCAAGAGGAATTCTTTTCTTCAACTATGGACAGAAAACTTGAGTCCCAAGTGTTAGCCATCAGATTGGCCCTAAAGACTACAGATACTACACGGCTAGATGTAGTTCACTGCAAAGGACTTTGAGAAGCTCTCCCTCTGAGCTTCAGAAAAGCCATGTGTGAAAAACATGTTGATATTATTCATAGGAAATGAGAGCTATAGAACTAAAATGATAGCTGATGTTTACTGAGTCAGTACTCCAGGTTAGGCACCATATTAAAACTTTCATGTACCCTGTCATTGATTCTCAAACCCACCCAATGAAATAGGCTCCCCATGGCAGAAGCTAAAATAGAAGCCCTACCAAGTTACACAACTTGACCAAATTCATGAGCTAATACATGACAAAGATGATGAGACTCATTAGTTAACATTCATTTAGCATATCTTTAAATTCTCTTGTGTCACGTGCCAGAGATTTATAGCTTTCAGTGCATTAGGGAAGAGGGATAAAGAGGCAAATTTTTAAGTGGATGGTGTAGAAAAATATGAGAGGTTCCTATTCCAGACTACAGAGAATTGAAGACTAGAATTTCTTCCTAGAAGAAGTAAGGTTTAGGCTGAGACAAAAACAAAGAAAAGGAGTTAGCCAACTTAATTGGGCATGGTAGAGCAGGACATTTGGAGCAAAATATAGTAGCATTATGAAGCCTTTAACAAAAAGCTTGGCTAGACCATGAATAATGGCAGAAAGTGTGGCAGGAGATGAAGATGAAAAGATTGACTAGAAATCATACAACATAGCATCTTGAAAATAATTTTAATAGCAAGAATAAGCAATTAAATAGTTTTAAAGAGGTGGGGGTAAACATAACTTAATTGACATTTCAGCATTGTTGCTGAAGAGTTGAGTGGTCCAGAAAGAGCCATGAATAGATATAGGGCGACCAGCTGGGGGCCATTCTCATATCCCATGGGACAAATAAAGGTGGACTGGACTTGAATGATGATGGCAGTTAGAGAAAAAAGTAGAAATGGAATTGGAAACGGTTTCAGAAGCAGACACAATAGTTTTTGAGGACTAAATGCAGGAAGAGAATATGGTATCAAGGATGATACCCAAGTTTATGATATGAGAAAGTGGATGGATGGGGTTCCATAACCTCATCCCAGGAAACTCTGGAAGAGATGTTTTGCAGCAAGTGGACCGAGGAAAGAATAGTCAATGTTAGACCTCATGAGTTGATGATATCTCTATTTGGATAACTCACAGGCATCTAGTGAGTAGTTAACTAACTAGTCTGAAGGTCAAGAGAGGTGCCTAGGGTGACTCTTGAAGATAAAGTCTTAATAATTCTAATATATTGCCTCATTATATGACTTACTTGAGGCCATACAGCAAAAGTGGGACTCAAATTTGCATTTGCAAGTTCAAAATCAGAGTGCTCTTTACTATAAATCTCTGCTGTTTAGCTGTGCTGGTGGCACTTGAAGATCTGACTTCATTGTCTCCATTACAGGCTAGTCATGGGATAAACTGTGAGATCTTGAGGCTCATCTTGGTTCCCCTAAGTAATTTGGGTAGAGAGTACTCTTATCCCTCATTTGGGTAATTGCTATGACTTTATTGAAACCATGGTCTCATTTACTCTCTGTTGCAGAATATTCACTGCCTAAAATACTGGAAGCTCCAACACCAACTAAGAATGACCAAGAACCAAGCATGGAAGAAGTGCCAGGTCAGTGTGGGCATGGTAGAAAAGTGGATGTGCCTAAAGCCACATGGTGACTAGTTAGTGGCACATCTAGGACTAGAACCATGACATCTGATAGTCTGGTGTTCTTTCTAGTCTAGCATCATATCATTAGCTGACTGGATAGGTTCTGAGGATCTGGTACTCATGGTCTTTCTTTTCTAAGTCCAAGAGAGCTCGGTGGTCTTAAGGGTTTCTTACAACTCATTGGGGTTCCCATCTCAGTTTGGGCAACTTCATGACCCTACTAGGACAAGCCACACCTAATAATCTGTTTGGGAGGCTTTAGTGGAGAGAACCAGAGAGCATGAAACCAGACTCAATATAATTCCCCAAATATTTGAGTACTGACTACATGCCAGGCACTGCTCTCTGTACTTACTATACATCAATGGACAAAGTACATCTGAATCCCCTGCATTTGTGAAGCTTACAATTCAATGGAGGAAAAAGGAGACAAACCAACAAGTAAGATAAAACCGGTGAAGCCAAAACACAGATGGAGTGATGCAGGCTTGTATAGACAGCATGCATTCCCCCTATTACCCACACTACCACCTATATCTTGCTAATCATCCATCAGTCAATACTGACCATGAAGTCCAACACCTAGGAAGAGTCTGGACCAACCTCATTTGGATGCAGCTTTGTTTAGGTTATGGATAGGAGAGCACCCTTCAAAGCTCAAGTCTGAGGAATTGATGTGAGTCACAGAGTCTCAGAAACCCAGAGATTATAAATTGTTCCAAGTTTAATGTACATCCAGGCTTAACAGGGTGAGTCCTATATATTATTCTCTCTGGTGGTAAAATTGTATCTTACAGGTTTCATAGATTACTATGTGGTGGCTTAGCAATGGTATAAAATAGAGACACTAACAGTCTAATCTTGGCAATAGGACCAAAGCAAAATTGACAGAAGCTGGTGTCTTATCATCAGCCACGTTGGGAAATCCCTCTAAAGTACCATTGTACACAAGAACTGCCACTTGTTGAGACCTCATGGGTCAGCACTGTGTCAACTTTTTTATCTCATAATTCTCAAAATAATCCCATGTGTTCGTAACTATAATTCCAGTTGTCCGGTAACACAACCAAGACCCAGAGAATAAATGGCATGCCAAAACCCTACATTTATAGACATCTTAAGCTTTAAATTTCACTTTAAACACTGCTTTAGCTGTATACCATAAGCTTTGGTATGTTGTGTTTCATTTTATGCATCTCAAAGTATTTTCTAATTTCTTTCATGATTTCTTCTTTGGTCTCTTGATTATTTATGACTGTCTTGTTTAATTTCCACATATTTGTGAATTCTAAAATTTCCTTCAATTATTGATTTATAATTTCATTCTGTTGTGGTAAGAGAACATATGTTTTATGACTTCAACCCTTTTAAATTTGGAACATGTCTGAAGGGCTAACATATGGCTTGTCTTGGAGAAAGTTCCATGTGCATTTCAGAAGAAAATGTATTCTGCCATTATTGAGTGGAGCATTTTCTATATATTTGCCTCCACTGTTTTCTATCTCAGTAATGGGCACCACTATCCACCTTGTTATTCGCACCAAAATCCTAGTCATTTTTTAGTCTGATTTGTTTCCTTTCTGTACCCTCTACCTAATGAATCAGAAAATCGTGTGAGACCTACCTCTAAAGTGTGACCCATTTCTACACATTTCTTCCCATATCCTGTATATGAAAATCATTTCACTTGAATCTCTAATGTGCTTCCACTCTGGTTACATGTGATCCATTTTCCATACAATAACAACCAAGATAATCTTTTAGAAATTTATATCTGATAACTTTACTCTCTGCTTAAAAATCCTCAAATGGTTTTTCATTTACGTTTGTGATCAAGAATACAATTTTTCTGTAATTTACAAGACTAACACCACCCTTATAACTATTCCTTAAATATGGCAAGGTCATTCCCACATCACCTAAGACAATATGTACTTAGCTACACTAGGGAACTATCTCCTAATAAGTACACAAAATGGTTATTCTCAATAAAAGGTAGCTATTGTATGTTGGGGGCTGTGCTATTCCTCCACAAATCACCTCATTTAATCTTCAGAGCAACTCAACAACATACGAACTATTACCTTTGCTTTATAGATGAAGGTACAGAAGCATGTAAGCCCAGTAAGTTGACTAAGACCTCACAAGAAGGAAGTGAGAGAATTCACATTTAAATCCTGTGTCTGGCTCCAGATTCTTAATCACTAGGTTTTACCCCTTATTTTAATGACTTTCTCAAAGGTCTTCAAAGAGCAGAAATGAAACCAGAACCTCATATCTTCTGATTTTGAGTCTAGTACTCATTTTACGTACCCTCTGCCCCTCTAGCTGAGCCAGTGTTTGCCATGTTCCAAACTGGTCAGAAGATGAAATCTGGCATTGCAAATTTTATCTCAGGGATTTTGTGGGTCTGTGCTATCTCTGATTTGGATAATTTACAAAAGTGTGTAGGAGTTTATTCTATTTCCCCCTCTTTTTTTGCAGACATTTCACAAGCTGTGGAACAAGATGGTGCCACAGCAGCAGAGACAAAAGAACAGGGTAAAGAAATCTGATTCACTCACATTTTTTTTTCTTTGCCGTCGTGGAGTGAATTTGGGTGAAAGAGCAGTCTGTGGAGTTTAGACAACATGGGAGTCCACTTTCCTTTTGTTCATCTTATTTATCTCCAGTGCATCAGTCTCTTCCCTAAGAGCCCCTGGAATCAGCACCACGGACAGAGTCACCTATGTTCACTGCAATTATCTACAGTCGGTTTTTATGAAGATAAATTCCTACGATCTGTGATTCCAGTGAACTTGGGCATCAAGCACAAGCACGTTTGACAGCTGCTAAGTATAGAGACAAGAGTAGTCATGTGATTTGTTCAAAACTACTTAACTAGTGGTGATTTTTTTTCTTAGTTCCTTCTATCAATCCTTATTTAGTGAGTAACTACCATTTGAAGAACTGTGATGGGAATATAGTGGTAAAAATACGTATATTTCCTGCCTTCATACTATTTACAGTCCAGAGTTATGCATTAATTAAACCAAACAAAATGAAGATGAGATCCGAGGTGCTATGATTGTGTGAAATGGCAGTTGACCCGTCAAGGAAGTGACAGCAGGCTTCCATGAGGAAATATTACTTCAGACTTTTTACTGAGATATAATTTGTATGCCAACAAGCTCACCCCTTTAAAGTGTACAGTTCAGTGGTTTTAGTATGTTCACAAGATTGTGCAACCATCACCACTATCTAATTCCAGAACATTTTTCTCTCCCAAAAAGAAATCCCAAACCCATTAGCAGTCACTTCACATTTCTTCTTCCCACAAGCCCTATGCAACCACTAATGTATTTTCTGTGTCCATGAATTTGCCTATTCTGGACTTTCGTTTAAATGGAATCATGCAATCTTTCATGACTTCTTTCATTTAGCGTAATATTTTCTATGTTCATCCATGTTGTAGTACATATCAGCACTTCATACATTTTTTCTGCTGACTAATATTCCATTGTATGAATAGACCACATTTTCTTTAACCATTCATCAGATGATGGCCATTTTGGGTTCCTTCCATTTTCTGGTTATGGTGAATAAGTTACCATTGACATTCATATATAAGGAAGTGGTAATGGAAACAAGTGATTTGACTTGTGAGATATTTAATAGAATTGGTGTTTGGGGTTTCAGGGAAAAAAAAACAGGTTCAGGAATGGCTCCCACCTTTCTGTTTAGACAACCTGATGGATGGTGACGCTGGGAGTCAATGATTTAAATTTCAAACTCTGAGGTCGCTTCAAGCTGGGCTTTTATTTCACCTGTACAACATAACATATGTTGGCCTTGTGTGACTTAATGATTCATTGGAAAAATGCTTTAAAACCTAATAGTTGCCAGTATTGTGCATTTTCAACTGGGATGAGTAATAATAAATACCAATATTGATGACATCTCTAGAATACTTACAATGGGCCAGGCACTGTTCTGCACATTTTATGATTATGCCATGGCATCCTACACCAGTCTCGCAAGGGAGGTATTAACATCTCCATTGTATAGATAAACAACCTACCATAGAGGGTTGACATGAGGCTAAAATTAAATTTATGTGTAAAGCAATGAGCCAAATGTTTGTTCCAAAGTAAGTTCACATATAGAAGCTCTTTTCTAATTATCACTTATAGGAAACTTATGAGGAGGAGTTTTTGGTTGCACATAAAACATGAAATGAGTTTTTGATGCATTGAATTTGAGGTCCCTGTGACACTTTAAGGTGATGAGTTAGACACATGAGCCTGGAATTTTAGGGAAGAAGTCCGCACTAGAAAGGGAAGTTGAAACTCTTATGCACAGCACAATAATTAAGTCCATGGAAGAAGAGAAGGTGATTGAGGAAGAAGCAGAAAGAGCTGGATTCAACTGCAGACTATCTTCCTGGGGGTTCCCTACCCCTATAGAAACCTACAACCCAGGAGCACAGTCTTTCCTTCATCTGAGGATGATGCATCAGTCCAAGCTCAGCAAATAGAGGTTGTTCAGATCTCACCATCTGCTTCCAGTGGTTTTAATACACATGTCTTAATGTCTTTCCCTGATACAAAATAATGAAGTTTAAAATTTAGAACTTTTGTGCATAGATTTTATGTAGAGCTAGTAATTGTCTTATACACTTGTGCAGAGAGAGCCTTGCTGTCTTTTTTGAAGACAATGGTAGTACCAGCAAATGTAAGGACTCAGGAGTAGAGGAGGTTTTATTTTTCATGTTCTTGAGTGCCTATCGGATGTCAGAGACTGTTGAAGAGCCTGGAGACATGGAGGTAAAATGGCAAGGTACTTTTCTTGTGGAACTTACATTGTAAGCTAGGAGCTAGACAATAATTAAATGCATAAAAGAATTGCAGCTTATGGCAAATGTTGGGATAAAAATAAAACAGAGTCATGTGAAAGAATTATGGTCTGTAATGATAATACTAACCACTGATCATTTCTGCCAGGCCCCATGCCAATAACTGTTGAATGCATGTTCTTTCTTTAATATTTATTGCAAGCTTTCAAGAGGATGTTAATCTCATCTCAGAGGTGGGAAAACTGAGGCCTAGAGAACGGGGCAACTTGTTCCAAATCACAGACACATTGCATAGTGGAGCTTGGAATTCCAAGCAGAATGGGTCCAACTTCAAGGGCTGTGCTTGTCTTTTTGTGCAGAGCAGGATTCTCTGTCACGTGGAGTTATTTCTCCATGGACCCTGGAACTACTGGGATGGAACTGGAGATGCCTGCCTGTCCTACAGGTGTAGAACATATGGCTATGGAACACATGTCCTCAGCTCCCCCCAAGCTTTTCTGTCTTTCAGAGACCACATACGAGTGTTTGGGTAGATTATTCATTTCACAAATACTTGGTATATAGTTAATATATTAATATCTGTGTTAATATATTAATAATTAATATATTAACAAATACACCAGGGGCTATTATAAATACTGAGGACACACAGTAAATAAGAAAGTCCCTGTGAAGTATCTATTGAGGGGAAACAGACAGTAAGCAAGCAAAAATGTAACACATTAGGTATTAAGTGCTGAAAGGAGATATTGGGTTAAAGAGACAAACAGAGCTATTTTGTGGAGAATTCATAAGGTTTAAGGAAGTAATCTTGGAATGAGGGATGGAGTTCATTGTCAGTACATTGCTAGGAAGAAAAAAAGACCCTGTCTGACTTAGGATCCACTAAGTCTACATCCAGGGTTTTTGTTTCGATGGTGGTTTGTTTTTTTTTTTTTAAATCCAGGCTTTCTTCAAATTTTTCCTCATGTTTTTCTCCTCCCCACTCCTGTGGGACTTAGGTCATGGAGATGGCAAACGGCACTACAAGAGTTATGTGATGACAAAATTTGCCATAAAGTTGGATGCACACCACGATTTCAAAAACTTTGCCTCTGACTGTCCAGAAATGCAAACATTGCTTGATGCTTTTAATCCAGACCAGAAGGGCTTCCGGCCTCGCACCGTGGTTCTGCACGGAGAATCAGGAATTGGGAAATCGGCTCTGGCCAGAAGGATCCTGCTGTACTGGGCACAAGGTGAACTCTACCAGGCCATGTTCTCCTACGTCTTCTTTCTCCATGCTAGAGAAATACAACAGATAAGAGAGAGCAGTTTCGCAGAGTTAATTTCCAGGGAGTGGCCAGACTCCCCAGTTCCAGTGGTGGAGATCATGTCCCAACCAGAAAGGCTCCTGTTTGTTGTTGATGGTTTTGATGACCTGGACTTTACCTTCAAAGATGATGACACAAATCTCTGTGAAGACTGGGCAGAAAAACAACCCACATCCATCCTGATGTGTAGTCTGCTGAAGAAAGTCCTGCTTCATGAGTCTTCCCTAATGATCACCGTCAGAGACGTGGGCATAGAAAAGCTTAAATCCATGGTCGTGTCTCCACGTTACCTGTTAGTTGGGGGAATCTCAGTAGAAAAAAGGATTCAGTTGCTCCAAGAGCACATTAAGAATGAGCATCAAAAGATGCAAGTCTTGCATTCGGTGGTGGTCAACCATCCGCTGTTTGACAAGTGTCAGGTCTCCGTCGTGTGCTCACTCATCTGCGAGGCTCTGAAGCTGCAAGAAATGTCAGGAAAGAGCCTTCCTCCTACCTGTCAAACTCTCACAGGCTTGTATGCCACTTTTGTATTCCATCAGCTCACTCCACGAGATGCATCCCAGCGCTTTCTCAGTCAGGAAGAAAGACTTGTCTTGAAGGGCTTGTGCCGGCTGGCCGTCGAGGGAGTGTGGAACATGAAGTTTGTGTTCTACGGTGATGACCTGGGTGTTCATGGGCTAAGGAAGTCTGAGCTCTCCGCTCTGTTTCACATGAACATCCTTCTCCAAGACAGCCACTGTGAAAGGTGTTACTCTTTCCTTCACCTCAGCATCCAAGAGTTTTGTGCTGCCTTGTACTATGTTCTAGAAGGACTGGAAAGAGGGGGGGATCCCTACCCTCTGCTCATTGAGAACATGAGGAGTTTGATGGAGCTCAAACAGATTGGCATCAATGTCCACTTGCTCCAGATGAAGCGCTTCCTGTTTGGCCTCATGAGCAAAGAGGTGATGGGGGCTCTGGAAGTCCTGCTTGGATGTCCTGTTCCCCTGGTGGTAAAGAAGAAGCTTCTGCACTGGATCTCTCTGTTAGGTCAACAGGCCAACACCATCGCCCCCCTAGACTTCCTGGACTCCTTCCATTGTCTTTTCGAGACTCAAGATGAAGAGTTTGTTCGCTTGGCATTGAAAGGCTTCCAAGAAGTGTGGCTTCCAATGAACCGGCGAATGGACTTAATAGTTTCTTCTTTCTGTCTCCAGCATTGCCAGTATTTGCGGAAAATTCGGATGGATGTCAGAGAGATCTTCTCTAAGGATGAGTTCACTGAGGCTTGGCCCATGATTCCCCAAGGGTGAGTACCACACTTCTGCAATTTTATTCTTTGTTTCTTTACATCTTTATGGAGATATAATTGACAAATAAAATTTGTATATATTTAAGATGCACAACTGGTGTTTTGATATACATGAAATAAATGCCACAAGCAAGCTAATTAGCATATCCATCACCTCACGTAGTTACTATTTTCTTGTGTGTGTGTACGTGTGTGTGTGTGTGTGTGTGGTGAGAACACTTAAGACCTACCCTCCTAGCAAATTTCAAGTACACAGTACAGTGTTGTTAAATACTGTCACATGGCTGTACATTAGATCTCCATCTTGTATAACTGAAACTTTGTGCCTTTTGACCAACATCTCCTCATCTCCCCCTCCCCCAGCCACTAGCAACCACTATTGTACACTCTGCTTCTATGCGTTTGACTATTTTAGATTCTGTGTGTGAGACTGTGCATGTCTTTCTGTTACTCGCTTATTTCACTTAGCATAATGTCTTCTGGGTTCATCTATATTGTTGCAAATGGCAGCATTTCCTTCTCTTTTAAGGCTGAATAACATTCTGTTGTGTATATATACACCACATTTTCTTTTTTTTTTTTTTTCGTGAGGAAGATCAGCCCTGAGCTAACATCCATGTTAATCCTCCTCTTTTTGCTGAGGAAGATCAGCTCTTAGCTAACATCTATTGCCAATCCTCCTCCTTTTTTTTTTCCCCAAAGCCCCAGTAGATAGTTTTACGTCATAGTTGCACATCCTTCTAGTTGCTGTATGTGGGACGTGGCCTCAGCATGGCCGGAGAAGAGATGCGTCGGTGCGCACCCGAGATCTGAACATGGGTCGCCAGTAGCGGAGCATGCGCACTTAACCGCTAAGCCTTGGGACCAGCCCCTACACCCCATTTTCTTTATCCATTCATCCGTCGACAGACACTTAGGTTGTTTCCATATCTTGGATCTTGTGGATAATGCTGCAATGAATAAGGAGGTGCAGAGTCATCTACTGAATCTCCATATCCTTATTGCCAGGATTTGACATGATTTTCAAAAATATCAGGGTCCCAGATAATTCATTAAGGGTGAATCACTCAGATGTTGTCCAGCTGGCTAAAATAATAGGACCTGAATCTGGCTAATTTCAATAGCTGGATAAACTATTTCAAAATACTGGGTCCTACCCAAGACAATTAAAGGAAAGGCAGTGGGTTTGGAACCTGAGGAGATGTGGTTTGTTTGTATCAATATGATCATTCAGGTGTGTGCACTACTTGTCTAGAGTAGGGTCCAGAGCAGTGCCATCCAGTAGAATTTTCTCTGATGATAAAAATGTTCCATAACGCCTTGTCCAATATCGCAGCCACTGGCCACATGCACCTATTGAGCACTTGAAATGTGCTGAGTGAGACTAAGGAACTGAATCTTTAATTTTATTCCATTTTAACTCATTTACATTTAAATAGCCACCTGTGGCTGGTGCTTACTGGATGGAATGGGCGCATCTAGAAAACATGCTTTGCTTGACTGTCTCCGTGTCTATCCTCCCATTACCCAGAATGGTACACCAGCCAAGGGTGTGGACATTGTCACCTATCTACCAAAGTTTTAATCCAAGGTCTGCTACTTCCTAGTGGTAGGACCTCAAGTTACTCAACCACTCTGTGCCTCAGTTTCCTCATCTGTAAAATGCAGGTAATGGTGTCTACCTACCTATCTACCTACTGGTTGTTAGGAGGCAGTTTGTTTATACAGCTGAAGCAGTAGGCACTGTGCCTGGCACTTAATTAACATGTAGCTGTTGGCTAATGATTCTGACAGAGTTAAACAGTTAAATCCTGAAGATTTGCTAGAGGAGAAGTACATGTCAGCAAGGAAAGAAAGCACACTGCCTGTCACCTTGTTCTGTCCTTTCGATGGCCAGGGGCATCCATGTCCTGGGAAATTTTTGTAGATTGGCTGAAAATGTGTGCAAGATTCCAGGCTAAGCCCTGAGGCAGGTATAGTCGCATATAATCATAAAAATCACAGCTATCACACAATGAAATCTTCATGAACGCTGCTATGCCCTTCCTTCTAATCTTCAAGTCAACCCTGTGGGATAGATCAACTCCCTGTTCACAGATGTGGAAATGTACACTCGGAGGTGAAATGACAGCAAACAGTAGACCAGTTGCTTTTAGCACCCAGAATTTAAGTGTAGCTGGTAACTGTGGATTCTGATGGCCACTACATCCATTTATTGCATACCAACCCTGTGCCAGGCATGATGCTAAGTATTTTATAAGCAGTGTCTCACTCAACAAAGGTTGGTTGAGTACCCATGTGGTGGGTGGTGTTTTATGCATTCAGGGCTCTAGAAGTAACCAGAAGTCCCTGTTCTCCTGGAATGTGGCATCTCGTGGGCAGAGATAGCCAGCAAGAAGATCACATAAAGTGGTGGTATCTGCCTTAAAGAAAAACTAGAATAAAAGTATATCAGTGACCAGGATGTTGCTCTGGGTAGGAAAATCAGCAAAGGCCTCTCAGAGAAGGGAATATTTAAACAGAGACCTTTCCAGTATTAGGGGAAGAACATTCTAGAAAGACAGGGTGGCAGGCAAAAATGCCCTGAGGCAGGAACATGGTGCATTAAATCTTCTTACCTCCTCCATATCACTGTCTCTCTGCCTCAACACTATTGATAGTTTGGGCTGGATGATTCTTTGTTGTTGGGAGCTGTCCTGTGCATTGTAGGATGTTTAGCTGTTTATCCACTCAATGCCAGTAGCATATTCCCTCCCCAGTCGTGGCAATCAAAAATGTCTCCAGATTTTACCCAATGTCCCCTAGGGGTGAAAACTGCCCTCTGGTTAGGAAATGAGACTCTAAAATAAGGACTATTAGCCATTTCAGAGGTACAGGTGGAAAAATAGAGGCTAAGGATTCCTCAGACTTGCCTAGCCAAGAAGGAGCTAGAATTATTCTTTTAACTGTAGTGAGAACACTTAACATGAGCTCTAGCCACTTAAATTTTTAAGTGCACAATACCATATTGTTAAATATAGATACAATGCTGTAGAGCAGATCTCTAGAACTTACTCAACTTGCATCATTGAAACTTTATACACATTGAACCATAGCTCTCCATTTCCCCCTCCTCCCAGCCCCTAGCAACCACCATTCTACTCTCCGCATCTATAAGTTTGACTAGTTTAGACGCTTTGTAGAAGTGGAATCATGCAGTGTTTGTCCTTCTGTGACTGGCTTATTTCACTTAGCATGGTGTCTTCCAGGTTCACCCGTGTTGTTGCATATGTCAGGATTTCCTTCTTTGTTAAGTCTGAATAATATTCCCTGAGCCAACCCTAGTGGGCTAGTGGTTAAGACCCAGCACACTCACCACCGTGGCCCGGATTTGTTTCCTAGTCAGGGAACCACACCACCCATCTTTCGATTGTCATCTTGTGGCAGCTGAGTGTTGCTATGATGCTGAAAGCTGTGCCACCAGTATTTCAAATACCAGCAGCGTCACCTATGCTATGGTGGACAGGTTTCAACAGAGCTTCCAGACAGATAGACTAGGAAGAAGGACCTGGCCACCCACTCCCGAAAACTCTGTGAACAGCAGTGGACCATTGTCTGATACAGCGCCAGGAGCTGAGAGGATGGCGCAAAAAGACCAGGCAGGGTTCTGCTTTGCTGTCCACAGGGTCGCTAGGAGCTGGAATCGACTGGGTGGCACTAACAACAATATTCCATGGTGTGTATGTGTGTGTGTGTGTATCACATTTTCTTTATCCATTCATCTATCAATGGATGTTTAGGTTGTTTCTCTATCTTGGTTATTGTGAATAATAGAGTGCAAATATTTCTTCAGGATCATAATTTCAGTTATTTTGTATAAACGAGATTACTGAATCATCTGGTAGTTGTATTTTTAACTTTTGAGGAACCTCCATGCTGTTTTCCATAGTGGCTGCACCATTTTACATTCAAGAGGGAGCTAGAACTTAAGCACAAATCTGATTCGAGAGCTGGTGGCTCCAGATCATCCTATTTATACCTCCTGGGGTAGTGAAATATTCAGGAGGCATGGTGGATATGAGCGCGCTTGTGCAAAGCACAAGGTGACATCATTAAATTGGCCTCAGAGCCTCTAAAGCCATCCTTGTCTTGACCTAATAGACTGCTTTCTATTGTGGCTGTTGCTCATATTAAATGTTGTGGTTGTGGCTCTTCCTCATATTAAAATCCATCCTTTGTAAGAAAATGTTGATTTCCTTCTCCAATGTAGGATGCAGACCAAGACCACTGTTGATAAGTGGTGGGAAAATCTTTGCTTTGTGCTCAGCACCCACCCAAATCTACGACAGCTCGACCTGAGCAGCAGCGTCCTGAATGAATGGGCCATGAAGACCCTCTGCGTCAAGCTGAGGCAGCCAACCTGTAAAATACAGAATCTGATGTAAGTGTGCCCGGCCCTGGTACATGCCCCTTTGCATGGCTACGTCAGGGCTCTCCTCTCCCACCTGCTGAGAGAAGACTGGTCTATAAAATGTATTCAGAAGGGATAAGTGCTGTGGAAGGGATAGGAACCAAGTTCCCAAAAGCACAGGATGAGGAGCAACTAAAGACCTTGTGAAGGGATTACTGAGACAAGTTCTTTTACTCTGGGTCTTTAGGGATGAATAGGAGTTGGTTAGTAGGGGGAAAGGTGAGGAGAGTTCATTTCAGGCAAATGGTAAGGCATGAGGCAATGGCAAGATCAAGGTGCACGATCTATGGGAGACTTTTAAATCAGGCTAATTAATAAAGTAACAGTTATGTGAACACCTAGTAAGTTCCTGGGTCTGTTGTAGATCCCAGGGTACTATACCAGGCACCTGAAGTAGGAGATGAAGTACTAGTTCTACTTCAAAGGTTCTATTCTTTACTCTTCCCTCCAAGACCAAGCTAAGCACATGTGACACTCAAGACTAGAGCAAGTCTGGGGGCCGGCCCTGTGGCATAGCGGTTAGGTGCGTGTGCTCCACTGCTGGTGGCCCGGGTTCAGATTCCGGGCGTACACCGAGGCACCACTTGTCAGGCCATGCTGTGGCGGTGTCCCATATAACGTGGAGGAAGATGAGCACAGATGTTAGCAAAGGGCCAGTCTTCCTCAGCAGAAAGAGGAGGATTGGCCTGGATGTTAGCTCAGGGCTGATCTTCCTCACAAACATACATACATACATACATAAATCAATCAATCAATCAATCAATCTTAAAAAAAAGGAAAAAAAAGACTAGAGCAAGTCAGGTTCTGGGTTGCAAACATCTTTTCCTTCCTGCCACTTCTATTTCTTCTCTAAGGAGTTTCCTACACTGGGCTGTGCCAAGGAGCTCGGTGGTCATAGAATAATGAAGAATGCCCTGTTCACCTTAAGTCCTACACCAAACTTCTCTGTCAGCTGTTATCTTAATGTTTTCGCCTTGGGAACCCCTCTCCACTAGCTGTCCCTGCTTGAAGCTCTCGTTATAATCTGTAATTTACTTTAATCCATATCCTCACTGTATTTGCAATACAACAGTCATACATGATACTGGTAAAGAGATTTAGGAATTACAAAGAGTTTTAAGTAAATCTTTTTCTGCCTCTTCAACTTCCTGTTTCCCTAATTGGCTACTTTCACGTCTTACAAACTTTTCATGCAATTATATGTACATATTTGTATATGAATTTTTTTAATCCAAATGGCCTCACATTATACATATTGTTCTGACACTTGACTTTTTCTTCAATTTGAACTTGACTATGTACCTGTTTGTAGGTCTAGCCTATTCTTAAAGGACTATACTGTATTTCATTCTTAAGCATAACTCTTGTTTGACACTGTTGAATGTCTCCCCACTAGATTCAGCTCCACGAGAGAATGGAATGTCAGCAATATTCTATTTACAGCTTAATACTCTATTTCCAGTGCCTGGTGCATCATAGGTACTTAAGTATTTGTCACTTTAAAATCAAATAAATGCAAGTAATGAGAGAAATGAGAGTTGGAATGGGAGAAGAGTGAGGAGGAGAAATTAGGATACAACTCTGTCACCAGCATCTAATTGGTATTTTCTTTTTTCCTCTTCTGTAGATTTAAAGGTGCCCAGATCACACCTGGTCTCCGTCATCTCTGGATGACTCTTCTTGTCAACCGTAATATTAAATACCTGAACTTGGAGAGAACTCACCTGAAGAATGAAGACATAGTGATGGCGTGCGAAGCGTTGAGACACCCACACTGTTTGCTGGAGTCTTTGAGGTGAGTCCTGGGTATGGTTTTTGCTTTTTTTGGTTTCCTCTTTGTTGTTATTGTTTTTACTTTTTATTTTGAAATAATTATTCACAGCAAGTTTCAAAAATATTACAGAGACTTGGGAAGATGACAAAGTCCAGAGATGGATGGTGGTGATGGTTGTACAACAGTGTGTATGTACTGAATGCCACTGAACTGTACACTGAAAGGTGGTTGAGATGGTCAATTTTATGTTATGTGTATTTTATCACAATAAAAAAGTAACTTTCAATGTTTCACAAAGATAAAAAAATATATATTACAGAGAGGTCACACATACCCTTCAGGCAGTGTCTCTTAATGGTCATGTCTTACGTAACTACATTTGTGTGATGCCAAAACCAGGACATCGACACCGGGCAATGTAGATATGTCGTTCTGTCATTTTATCACACATGTAGATTCGTGAAACCACACTGCAACCAAGATACAGGAAAGCCATCGTCCTTGTGTTGCCCTTTCCTGGTCAGATCCCTCCCCCTGACCACCATCCCTAATCCCTGCCAATAGCTCATTTTCCATGTCTATAACTTTGTCATTTCAACAATACTGTATATGTGGAATCATGCAGTATGTCACCGCCTGAGATTGGCTTTTTTCAATCAGCAAAAACCCTTGAGGTCCATCTAAGCTGTTCCGTGCAACAGTAGTGCGTTCCTTGTTATTGCTGATTGCTATCTGGTGATACGGATGTACCACAGTTAGTATCTATTCACCTATCCAGGGACATTTTGGTCATTTCCAGTTTTTGCCTATTACTACAACTTTATAAATCCTGAGTGTGTGTTTTGTCAATTAGATTAAAAGTGGTGTCTAAAGACACTACTGCTCGATGCTTTTGGTCCTCTGAGACAGAAGCATGAAGTCTGTTTCGAGCTTTGTTAAATGACACACAGCAACTTGGAAGAGCTGTTTGCTTTGCGCCACATGTGTGTTTGCTCCGTAACTCACAAGCTGCACTTTTAAGAATGTGACCCAAGGAAGTCAGCCAAAGCATAGAAGTCCTTTCAGGATGGAAATGCATATGTATTTGCCCAATACCATGTGGTTTTACAACAGTCTCCGGGAACGAAGAGGAAGCAGCTGCCCATTCTCTCTCTCTGGCTGCTTCACAAACAGAATAACTGGAGGTTGGATTCAAAGAATAAATAAGACACATATTGTCAGAAAAGAGGAGCCAAGGAAAGAGAAAGTGTGAAGTCATATGGTGGGAGGTGACAGCCTGTTTCTAGGAACCATAGTGAGTTTACCTTCCAGTGATTCATGAGGGCAGGAGTCTTGTTCTGTTTCCTTCGCTGCTATATTCGCAGAGCCTGGAACTGCTCTATTCCTAGCATCTGGCCCATATTACGCCCCCAAACACGGACTGGGTGGAGGATGGGATGGAACGACTGGCTAACTCTCTAAATGGGAGATGACTTTGAAAGATTGGGCCACGTTGTGAGGGGTTTTGATTGCAAATTCCTCAATGTGATATTCAAATCCTGCCATTTGCAACAACATGGCTGGACCTTGAGGGCATTATACTAAGTGAGATGAGTCAGACAGAAAGAAAAATACTGTGTGATCTCACTTGTATGTGGAATATTAAAAAAAAAAAAAAGCCAAACTCCTAAAAGCTGAGGGTAAAATGGTAGGTAGCAGGGGCTAGGAATAGGGGAGAAGTAGTTTAAGGATACAAACTTGCAACTAGCAGATAAATAGGTCCTGGAGATCTAATACACAATATAGTGAATATAGGCAACAATGTTGTATTATGGTCATGGTAGGGAAGAGGGAGAATCCCCTTCCACCCTTTCCCCCAAGATTCTTATGGCTGGCCAAATAATTAAAAGACAGGTTAGCAGGAGAAAATAATACGAAGTTTAATAACATGTATACATGGGAGAAACCAAGGAAACTGAGTTTCTCAACAAAATGGCAGAGATTCTCATCTTAAACACTATCTTCAGCTAAAAACAAAGGAGGATCTTGGGGGTGGGGGAGTCAGCTATGGGAGATTACCAGTAAAGCACAGTAAACAAGAGTAAGGTTATTATGCAGATTTAAGGCCTCACCTTCTACATTGATAAGTTTCTAGAGATGAGGTCATCCCCCCTTTTCCCAGTACAGAGAGGGAGATACCTTTACAAATGGAGATTTCCCTTATAAATGTAAATGTTTGTCTGACAACCCTTTACAGGGCCACCTAGAGAATGTGGCCTGGGAGAGACAGAATTTTTGATAAGATGGGCTTGTTGGCGCCTTTCCTATTGTAATATCTATTTTACATTAGATTACAGCCATCATATGGTAGTGGCTCCTTCCTGAAACAGGCCTTCTATGTTAAATTCTTTAGGCAGTTTGGGGGAGGTCAAAAGTCTGTCAGAGAAAATAATCAAGGTAAAGAGACATATTTCAGGGTGGCCAATTTTGATCTCCCACAGTCATCAAACTTGCTAAGACTCTAGATCGTAATTATTCCAACCACAAAAAAGAAATGGTAATTAGGTGATGTGATGGAGGTGGTGGCTAATGCTATGATGCCAATCATATTACAATATAAATGTATCAAATCAACATGTTTACACCTTAAACTTACCCTTGCAGTTTGGACCAAATGTCCACACGTGGACCAAATGTCTTCTGGGTGTTTTGGACAGGACCAAGTGTCTGCTGGTCATACTTACACAATGTTATATGTCAGATATATTTCAACTAAAAATAAACAAGTACAAATTTAAATATATGCAATGTTGGCTGGTGATCATTGATACGAATGAACTAATGGCGGAGAGAGAGGAGTGGGGTAGAGTGGGGCAGGCACGGTTTTAGTAAGGTAGAGAAGACTGGCTTACTCAGAAGAAGTGAACCTCATAAACTTTGAATCACATAAAAACCTGGGGTCAGGGGTAAGGATGTTGCAAACAAGAATGGCAAATTCTCAGACCCTGAGGCCAGAGCAAACAGTGTCCAGGAACCAGCAATATGGACAGAGCAGCTGGTGTGTAGAGGTAGGGGAAAGGGGTTGCTTTTGGGGAGAGACGAAGATGTGTTCCATGTTGCCTGTCTCTGCAGGTTGGACCACTGTGGGTTAACCCACACCTGTTGTCAGGTGATCTCCCAAATCCTCATGACATCTGTCAGCCTCAAGTCCCTCAGCCTGGCAGGAAATAAGGTGACAGACCAAGGCATGAAGTCTCTCTGTGACGCCTTGAAGGGCTCCCAGTGCACCCTGCAGAAGCTGATGTGAGTCTTGATTCTTTCTCCGGGGTTATCTTCTCTTAACTGAGATCGTCCGAGTGATGGGGAAGCAGAGGGGCACTAGCTGATGCGTAAGCTGAGGGTTAGAGTGGGACCTGTGACCTCACACGAGTGCCCCAATGTTGAGGTTTAAGAAAGACCCAGTAAATAATACGTGTGTCTTTGCTGCCGTGCTCTGAACTGATGTAAATGATCAGAGCAGAAGCCAAACACATAGAACCAGAGAGTAGAATGGCAGTTGCCGGGGGCTGGGAATGGGGGAAATGGAGAGATGTTGCTCAAGGAGCACAAACTTCCAGTTACAAGATGAATAAGTTCTGATGATCCCGTGTGCAGCATTCTGATTATAGTTAACAATACTGTATTATATACTTGAAAGTTTCACCAGTGCCGAAATCTCAGAGTCATAGGCTTGTGGTCAGAGCTGCCATCTATGAGTCCCTTGAGCACCAGGCTCAATGCTAAGAGTTCCATTCCCACTCTTCTAAAGCATGCCGTGGCAGTAGCATCCCTCTTTCATCAGGAGTTTGGTGCTCAAGTCACAGCAAAATGTGAAAACCAAATACCACAAGTTACCCTTTAAGGCCCAGAGGGGAAAAAAGTCACAGTAGAAACCAACAGAGCTTCTCTCCATCAGTCTGTAGGAGAGGGAGGAAAATCTTTCTTCAGTGTCTGGGGCCTGCAAATTAAACTGACAATGGACAGATTAACCAGGAGAAAATGTGTACAAATTTTATTGATGTTAATTTTTTTAATGTGTATGGGGGCTTCACAGAAAAGAAGTGAATAACCCAAAGAAGTGGTTAGACTCAGGAGCTTATATACCATTTTAACAAAGAGTGATAAATTGTGGAGAAGGGACTCAACAAGGGAAAGGGGTTTGGGGCTTCTAGGGCTGCTAACTTGTGGTAAGGTGACTAGCAAGTATATGGGGGAAACTTATGGTGGATAAGGGTTATATGAAGACATCCCAGTGCCATCTCCATCTCTGGTGATAAGGGTTATTGTCTGCCTGGTACAGGAGAGGGGGAACACCTACACAAAGGATTTTTTTTATGCATCCAGGCAGAGGGCAGAGAGCTCTTCCTGTGTATGATTTTTCTCAGTTGCCTTCAGCTCAAAATAATCTTTATGCCAAAGTGGCATCTTTGGGGCTGGCATATCCTGATCCCCTTCAGGTCCAACCCAGATGGTGTTTCTTCCTTCATCAAAAGAAATAGCCGTCAATAACACAGAGTAAGTGCCTGCTGCAATGCACTGCTCCAAGCACTTCAGATGTGTTAATTCATTTAACTTTGTCACAACCCCGTGACAGAAGTACTATTCAACTCTTATTTTTCAAGTACAACTGTTTCCTTAGCTTCGAGAAACGGATGGAATATCTAGTTAATGTCTAAGGGCCATGATGTGTCAAATGTAGGTCCTTCTAAATAGGAGGGTCATGCATCTCGGGAAAACCTCACACCTTAGTAAACGCCAAGAGGGAAAACAGCCAAGCAGAGAACAGTTCAGGCTGCCCACGTGTTTCCCATTGTGGTTGATGGCAGATCTAATCGTGCCATATTTAGAGTGTTACTTTTGGACTGAAGCACTGGGGTTGAGTTCGCAAGTTAAAAGCAGACACGATGTGACATCACAACACGATGTGACATAGCCACACTTTGTGACATCACCGTCCACCTGCAAGGGCCCGTCAGCTATGGGGGTGACATTTCTTTCTCTTCCTTGCAAGGGAGGCAGAGGTGAGACTTTAAGAGCAGAGCTCATTATCTCCTTTCTGGGGGCTCTCTCTCTCTGCAGACTGGGGAACTGTGGTCTCACGGCAGCTGACTGCCAGGATCTGGCCTCGGGGCTCGTTAACAACCTGAGCTTGACACACCTGAACCTTTCCAGCAACAGCCTGGGGAGTGAAGGCCTGAATCTGTTGTGTCGGACCATCAGACTTCCCAACTGTGGGCTACAGAGGCTGATGTGAGTCCCCCTCACTGCCCTGCGAGGACTTCACCGCTTTGTCACCAAGAGCGTGTGCCGCTCTGGAAGCGCGAAGCAGTGGGGAGCACGAAATTGTCGTGATGAAAGGACCTGATAAGCGCTACCTCCTGTCCCTACCCATCATCTCCTAGATCTCATCCTTCTGTGGAAAATTCTATCTCTGCCTTTGTGTTTTCTTACAGTGGGAGGTCGACTCATCCATATACAGTCCATTCTCATTCGCGGTAGTTACTTTCTGTAAAGTCACCGCGAACACCGAATTAGCAAATGGGGAACCATTGCTCCTGGCAGAGATACAGGGTTAGGTTCCCGCGAGATTCTGGTCAAAACATTCTCATCAGCCAGTCAATACATAAGCTTGTTTTGTGTGTTTCTGATTCATTAACAGTGAACTCGCAGCCAACTGTGCTGTAACTCACGCCTGAAGGAAGCTTTTGTAATACATATATTTTCTCCGCAAGGCACATCCCAGCCTTCCTGCACTTAGAGACATTAGACGGCACTTTAGCACTGCACTTGCGGGCCATTTTAAACAACGAAATCACCCACAAAACACAAAAATGCAAAAAGTCGTGGCACTAACTGGACCATGAAAAGAACACGTGTTTATGGTAGAGAGAAAAACAAGTTCAACCTCAGCTGGGAACGTGTGCAACGGACGACTGGAATATTTCTCTGCTCTGCACATGCGTGTGTCCACAAAGGACTGTGAGCACCACCAGTGTTGATTTTGGGGATAACAAATAAATTTTAGAGAGTAGGCACATTCGTGAACACAGAATCCATGATAATGAGGATCAACTAGATTAATTAATTAAGCACTTACTTTGGGCGAACACTCTCAGTTGCTAGTGATCGAGAGATGACAGACAGACATGGTCCCTATTTTCCATAGGTTAAATTCTGGTAGGGGAGTGTTGGATAATCAATGAGATTTTCAGACGATGGTTATGGTGACGCAGGGCCAACGCCCTCCAAGTCTGTTACACAATTCTGGGAGCACCGTGCACACATCTCGACAATGCTATGTGCTCTAGCTATCGTATAACGTGTCTCTATCACTGTTTTAAAACCTGCCTCCTCGTGTTGCCAGATTTCTCTTCTATCCCAAATCTTTGGTTTGACAGTGAGAATGAGAGATTTTTGTTACTCTCCTTCAGTACCATCAACTTGCTCTGCTTTGCTCCATTAGGACCACTTTGTTTTCTGCCATGTCATCCTTTTGACCAAGTCCACCGATAACTTTATTGTGAAAAATATTCATGCATTAATGGTATACCTGTAGCCATAAATTCTGTTACAGAATATAACTTTAATGTCTATATGATCTTATGATGAATTCTAAGATTCCCCAGTGAATAAGTGATGGGGAGATACTGAGTATGGTAGATGGAATAGTAACCACCCCCACACACACACAAGATGTCCACATCCGAATCGCTGGAACCTATGGATACGTTAACTTATATGGCAAAAGAGATTTTGCTGGCATGATTAAGTTAAGAATCTTGAGGTGGGGAGATGATCCTGGATTATCTGAGTGGCCCCAATGTAATCACAAGGGTTTTTATAAGAGAAAGAAGGAGGTGGGAGAGTCAGAGGTGGAGAAGCAATAACAGGTCAGAGTGATGCTTTGCTGGCTGGAGATGAGCTAAGGAACATGGGCAGCCTATAAGAGATAGAAGAGGCAAGGAAACAGATTCCTCCTAGAGCCTCCAGAAGGAGCGCAGCCCTGCTAACACCTTGATTTTTAGGCCAGTGAGTCTCGGATCTCCACATTATAAGATAACATACATGTGTTTTAAGCCACTAAGTTTGCGGTAATTTGTTATCACAGCCATAGGAAACTAATAGATTGACTGTGAAGGAAAATTAAAAAGAGACAGTCAGAGGATCTTGAATAGCAACCAGCGCGTGCATTATGCAGACATTGTGCCAAGCACCTCATGGTCATTCCATCTCTTAAGCCTAACATATACGAACCTTCTTAAATACGAACATAACCCCCTCCCAAAGGAGGAGCAAACTGACGCCAAGAGAAGCTGCTTACCCAGGGTCACACGGAGGCAGGAGTGTGACGTTCCCCTTTCCCTTGTGTGTGCCTACAGACTAAATGAATGCAACCTGGATGTAGCCAGCTGTGGCTTTCTTGGATTTGCGCTTATGGGCAACAGACGTCTGACACATCTGAGCCTTAGCATGAACCCCTTGGAAGATGCTGGGATGAGCCTTCTGTGTGAGGTCATGATGGAACCATCCTGTCACCTCCAGGACCTAGAGTAAGTTTCCATGGTTGTTGGGGATCAACTCTACCGTATTGAGGCCTGGGGGTCCTAGAAGATCAAGAAAGATGAGCAGGGAGACTGCTAACAAAGATTTGTTCCAGGGTCAACTGATGCTCATTTCTTCCAGTGAACACTCTTTGTAAGTTGATGCATTGACACTACAATGAGAGTGGGAAGGACAGAGATTATTCTGAACAAGAGCCCCATGGCAGGATCTGTGGAATTCTAGGTCACTCTTGATCTCTAAAACCTGTTCACTTCTCAGAACACATCATCTTGCCCCAAGTTAATCTTCAGTTATTTAATCTGTATGTGGGATGGAGATGAGGGGACTGTCTATCTCTTAATCCCTTTTCTCTCTGGGACTCAAATTTCTTCACCCCTTATTGGAGTGTTTCTATTTAATAGAAGTATTGCATCATTAAACAATCTGTAGAAAAATTTAAAAATCTCAACGAGCAGAAATAAATCCCTAATCTCACAGCCAAGCAATAATCACTGTTAACGTTTCAGTAAATGTCTTCTGGATGCATACGGAGCATTTAATGTTACAAAGAAAGGATACTAGCACTTAAAGCATTCTTACCATGTGGCAGGCACAGAGCTCTAAATATTTTGCATGTCTAGTCTCATGAAGTCCCCCCACCAATCATAAACCAGGTGGGAACCAAAACTCCCAAGGACCCCAAACCTTGCCATTGGTCTCACATTCTGTCCTTGAGGATATGCGGATCATAATAGCAATGAAGTGTGGTACAGTACTCCATTTAATGGTGCAGCATAACTTAAATCCCCTGAAGCTGGGCACTTAGCTTATGTCCAATGTTTTAGTCACGTGTGCCTTATAAATCTTGGTGTATTTGGTAGCATTTTCTTATGATCAATTACAAAGGTAGAATTCATAGACCAAAAAGTGGGACCATTTTGAGATCTTGTCCCTCCCCAATAATAAACAAAAGAAAGGAATGGGATAGAGATCATAGTTCACAAACCTCTAAATGCACCCAAAGTATTAATTCCTCTATTTATTTTCATGAAATTGGCATTTCAAGCCCTACTTCTGCACGATATAGAAACTAAAGCTTAGTCAGTTGGAGATGTCATTTCTTTGGGATTACATTTAGTTCTGGGAGATTATCTGGTCCTCTCCATCATCATTTATCCATGCTAGCATCTAGAACTTGGTCATTCCCACCTGCTCTTCAGGTGTGAGTCCTCACAATGGAGTCCTTCCTCATTTTTTATGTGAATGCCTCCTGGAGATGGACTCTCTCATCCGCAGTGGGATCATTCTGTTCTTAGCATACTAAGCTGCAGATGTGAAACTCTGAAACTGTTTCCATTATTTCTACTCAGGTGAATCATCCAGTCATGACTGCAGGGACCATTTCCACCTCCCACCCCCTTGTCCTAGGAACAGAAGCACAAGACCACTCTCCTTTTAGATCCTAAACCCTATCTAGCATTTCAGCAACTTCTGTCATCCTTTCTCTCCCTCTCAGGGCTCTGTCCTTTTGTCAGGCACTCTATCAACTTCTACTCACTCATGTTTTTTCTGTCTCTCTCCCCTTCCACCATGGAGAATCTCTATCCCATCTCCAGGTGGGAAACAAACTCTGATGTGCTCATTTATTTTTCCAGAGACACCTCCAGTCACATCAAACACTTTCCCCACTCTCCACCATCATCCCTCTCCTGAGCCAATGGATGCCTCACAGTCTAAGTCATTCACAAAGATGGTCAGAAAGGTTACCACTAGGAAGAAATAAAGGAAATGCCCACTAATGTTGCTAACATTATCCCACTGTAGTACTCTCCTCAAAAGGTGTGGATATATTCATTCCCTTCCCTTCCCTTCCCTTCCCTTCCCTTCCCTTCCCTTCCCTTCCCTTCCCTTCC